GCCAGTCCGAATGACCATTGGTCCATCTGCACCGTCTACGACCGACCAATCGCTGCAACCGAGATGCTGAACCGATCGCATCAGAAAACAGGAGGAACTCTTCCAACTCGACCTGAACCGACAATCTTATCTTGAACCGGGTATCAGCAGTGTCAGACTCTAGAATGCCCTTAACTTAGTGAGACTCCCAAAACTCCCTCAAAATCGCAGTAGGGAAGCCGTAAAGCATCCGGGACAGAGAATCCGGTCGCCGATAGGACACTCAAGCAGTCAATCAACAAATCTGATGATGACGAGTGTTCGGGCATATCATGGGGTTAGCACCAACCAATCACCCAAAGCCCATCGGGCAGCTCGGATCCAGGGTAAAAAGTGCGTTTTAGAATACCACGATGCTCCTTGTAATTTTTACACTCGCTTTTTCGCAGTAAAGCTGATGTGTTTCTTGCTCGTGACTTTTTCCGACACTAAGGTACTGCAGGGGGTTGTAATTAGGTACAACAAAGCAATAGAAAGTGAACTTGTTGAACAACTATTCGTTATTACACTGTCACAGTTACTGTACGCATGTGATGAGAAGAAAAAGTAGGGTGAGTTTGTCTAGATATGCACTGGACAAAAATATGACCACCCTCTCCCAGTTAAAACGCACCTTGTAATTGTGCTTCACATGTATACTGTTGAAAAAACAGGGTCGGCACAAAACGCAAGTGGAATCCATGGCGCAGTCCCTAAAATATGAAAAATGCGCACGTGTTTCAACGGGGCGAATAGAAAGAGAAATAATGAGGCAGAGACGACTAAATCACCCCTGAAAGCTGCAAACAATCAACTCAGCTTATCAGCTACAAGCCATGTGCCATGGGCACATTGGTCCCAGCTGCTACAGCTTCGATCACAGGAAAACAGGAACATACAACCAAGCCTCGGAGGCGAAGGCCTCGAAGGCTGCAAGAATCACTGCCATACAACAATCACTCATTCTTGGAAACTGCCCGTCGATTTCACTCTGCACATTAATCCTTTCAACGTGAATTCAGAAGGAGTTCGACTAAACGCTATGGTAGGAAAAGTAGAACGAGTGAACTGGTTATTGTTGTAACCAGTAAATTAGAAGAACCCTAACGAGTCTTGATAAAATTTTGAAGGCCTGATCAGATGGTGATTATCTGATCGTATCCTTCATAGGAATAATGAGTACAGAGGACGCATTCAAGGTCTTGTTGTGAAAGCATGCTACTAACTCCGGACCTACCTAGCAGGGACCCGGTAGACTGCGAAAGATGTGTACCAAAGTCCGAAGTTAAATTATCACAAACAATGGTCACATCAGAAACGCGGCGAACGGTGAGCTTCCGCATAACAGATAGCTTCTTAGGAGACATTCTGTTTCCCTAATCACCTCAACACTAACTTATTTCACATACAGCGAAGATGTTGGCAAATTTGGAGCAGTATTCCAGCGTTATAAACCACTTTTACAAAAGACTAAATATGCACGTGAACATATGTTCATCATGCAGACCCGGAGGTCGGCATGAGGTCAAGTAGTAGCAAAATGGATCCACACTGAATTTCGCAGACAGCTGTCAACTGCAAAACAGCTCAAAGATAACAACCTCCTCGATGAAGCAATGATGCAGCGTATTGAATGCGCAACTATTATACTTGCGTTCTAATCCAGCAGCTGCTCCTCTTTGCGACCACATTTGTCGAGATATGTTACGACCAAAGTTCACCATTTTTAAGTCAGTCACATGCAGGTTGCAATCCGGAAGGGAATTACAAAAACATTCCATACCTGCAAGAGTAAGTAGGTTCATGTTGTTGGAATATATGGCCGCAAATGACATTCCCATCTGGAGTCAAAGCATTCAAACGCTTCTCAAGAGAAGCCAATGTTTCTGAACTAGGCTCCTCCTCTTCAGCTATGAAAGCCTCGAATGCTGCGAACAGGGACCGTTCTAACTTGATGTACTCAGCTTCGTTGGGCCTACTGCCAGTTTCTGCAGCAGGTTCAACAAATGACTCGTCGTCGGAAGCTCGGTAAATCTGGGCGGAGCAAACCACGGAAGCGTACCACCGCACTGTCTCGAAAAGGATGTCCTCGAAAGCTGACTGGTCACAGTTGTTTAGGAGGGCCAAGAATCGCTGATAACCAAAGTGAAAACACGCGGGGAGTTAGTTAAGGGAAAGAGTTATCATCAGCAAATATAAACCGTTTTGGAAAAAAGGAATAAAAACTGCTCATTGTTACATTATCAGTATGTGTATAGCAAGTTTTGATGCAAGCCCAGTCAGGCTAGGATATATCGTTCAGGAAAACATAAACCCATGTTGTTTCAAAACATCTCTCCGTTTCGAATGTAAAGTGCGGGAACGCATCCAAAGTACCCAACGTTACAAACAGTATTACCGTTTGATGTTGGCACAATGTAGGCGGTTGAGTTCAGTCACTTGAATGTGAACCACATATCATGAGAAAGTGGCTTCAGTTGGCATTGTTTTATCCACGGGTGAGTGGAGCTATGGAGGGGGCACTCAAACAACAAAAGTAGCCTGGAAACATCACAAACGAGATATTCAGCTGCGTTTCAGGTAGGTCTCTCGCAAAACCTAATTTGTGTGCGAATGAGTGTATTTCGCTAACTCCGTGCAATTTGGTTCAAGTAGGAACATAAGGTTGAGGAAACTCGGGGAATGTGCCTACTTGATGAGCCCCGAGAAGAGCGAAGCCGATCGTGGGTTGATGAATTTTCAGCAACCTTATGAGTAGTGCATCACGAATACACATGTATCGCGATATTTCCAATACCGTAGTGATTGAAACATGGGGCGGCCTGGTGTGGTAAATTCAGTTGCTTGAAAAAATCACGAGAGATTCAGCTGGGTTCCAGGAGGGTCTCTCGCAAATCATCATCATCACCATCATCATCGACAGCATGACATCAGTGTTCAACACCGATGCTTCTCTCGCAAAATCAAATTTCTTTACAAATGAGTGTATTTCACTAACAAAGGTAGCTGTTTTTCACCAATTAGATGTTGGCCCATCCAAATGCGCACTGATGATGCCTCTTAGGATGGTGACGAAACGTTTGCAAGTCAATTGCCAAGCTCGGCGAACGGATTAATAGCCATCTGATCAATAACCAAGATGACCAACTGCAGCAAACTGATACTGTAAGCCGTAGTGCCCAACGGATTAGCATAACCGGACTTTCCGAACTTGTCGAAGTTGTCTACAGCCAATTCCTAACAAGCGCTCGCGTCCGTGCCTCTAGGTAGCAGTTTGCATTCAACAATCACCTTATCCCGGTAAAACGCCCTACCGTAAGAGCAAAAGAGGCATCCACCACACTTACTTTACTTCAGATAACTGCGGTGTGAGGATAACGTCTCGTGAAACGGGGCGAGATGGCTCGGTGGTTAGAGCGCGAATTCGCTGACTGGAAGGTCCGTGGTTCGAACTCGACCTCTCTCGACTTCTGCTGTTTAGGCTTGGGAAACTTGTCAGTATCCAAGCCCCTGTGTTTCCTTCTGTTTCCGCAACGGCTATCCATGCACAGAGCCTAGAAGGGGGAAGTCGAGTGGCGGAGGTCGGGTTCGAACCACGGACATTCCGGTCAGTAAGTTCGCGCTCCAATCACTGAGCCATCTTGCCCCCGATCCGTAAATACAGGCTTGTCAGCGAACTTATAAGTGGGGATATTGGAAAGGAAGCTATGCAATACAATACAATACAACAGCTTGGATACATGAGCGCCATTGAGGGCGCGACTGAGCCATGTCTGACAATGTCTCTAACCACAGATATGGCCCCTCTCGGGGTTCCCATCCAGGAACACGGCAATGACCAGCGCAGCTGAGTTTGCTGGTAATGGCTTTCACACTTCGCTGCTAATTCATTTTTTGACTGCCTCTGGCTCTTTTCCACGCTTCACATGGTTGTGTGAAAAGAACCCCTCGGGAAAGTTTGTCGACTGGCATACGCAGCACGTGGCCAGGCCAGCGCAACCTATGCAGTGTGATCAGTTCATCTATCGAGGGTGAGTTATTTCTCCAGAATACCATTCGATGTATTTCAGCATTGCTTATCCGGTGTTCCCACCAGACTCGGGCAATGCTCCAGACATCGATTGTCAAACACTGAAAGTCCTCGGCGCAGAACACCCAGGTATCTGACCCGTGCAGCAATATGGATCGCATCGCAGCATCGCAAACTCGACCCTTAAGCTGATGTCACGTCTACGACACAGATGACGTAGGTCCACAAAAGCTGCTTTGGCCTTCCCAATCAGGATGAAAATATCATCTTTCGCAAAACCACCGGGACTTATACAGCTTCCCAGGTAAACAAATTTGTCTACTACCTCAATCGATTCATCCGCAAGCATGAGGCCAGGGGTCGAGCCCACCCAGTCTTACACCATGTAGGTGTGAAGCGGATACCAAACCGTGAAGCAGAATTATCTAGATTATTTAATACTGTTTGCATCACAACGGCAGCAGATCCAAGAAGAGCTATGTCGGCTGCATACACTACATGTGAGCGGACGCACAGGGAGCACGTCGACCCAACAGGTATTAAAGGTTGACAGTGAGTACGCCTAAGTCTTTCCAATGACCAGTTTGAAGAGGAAAACTGAAAGAAGACGGAGCTGTCTGACACCACTTGATGTGGTGAACCCAAAAGACAGCTTTCCGTAGGCGTCTACACGGTCGCAGGAGTTGGTGTACAGCACATTAAGGAGGGTTAAGAATTTACGGGGGACACCTTTGTTCCGCGGACACTGCCATAGTGCCTGACGGACCACAGAGTCAAAGGCAGCTTTCAAATCAAGAAACAGAACGATTGTTGGTTGTTTTGAGCAGTAAAGGATTCCCTGGTATAAAAGCATTTCGACCAAACTGAATCACACATCGGCGGTAATGGCCAATCGTAGGGCGATCAGAGTATGTTCTTACAGCCGACTACTTCTAACCCGTCCTTCCTCATAGGAAGGCAGCGTAGCTACTTCCGTAAATATGGACACGCCTGTTGCCTTCAACCACTCCATCAGGCAATCTGTAAAGAGACTGACAGCACGATCGCCACTGACAACGATTGGCCGCCATTTCTTGCAACGTCTCCAGGCAAGCACAGGCGGGGTCACGGGGACCCCATCCTGGAAGGCGTACATCAACAATACCAAAACTCTTCGTGATACCTTTCACGCCTTTCAGCTACGTCATGCGCTGTCTGCCTCGCAGTTTGTGCCATTCAGGAGGCACGGAGAACAACACTCATCTTGGTAGACGGTGCTTCGGCATGCGTAGCACATGACCGAGCCATCGTAGTCGACGATACTGGATGTTTTCCCGGATTGAAGTACCTGCAGCATAACCAAAAACCCGTTTTCTAATCACTTTGTTACTAACACGCTGACACCATCCAAAACCAGCCATACTTCGGAGGCATCGGTGATCGGAAACCTGGGGGCGCCTCACATCATCTATCCGAGGAGGCCATGTCTCGCACCCATACAACACAGCCCTTACGGTAACCTGGTACACACGACCCTTAAGATCTAGTGAGATGACATGATCAAGAACTGAGAACTTCGGTCTTCCAAGCGAAGCAGCCACATCTGCGATCCATGAAGTAGGACACCAAGCCGGACCGCGGTTTTGTACACTATACCCTTGACAGTTAACTGACATCATGTGGCCCCCCACAAATGTCGGTCAGAAAAGGCTGATCCGGCCTTCCCATTTCCGGAAGTGATTTTATTTCCCTCGGGTCCGCCAGGACCTATGCAGCCATCCATGAAAAACCTGGTACTTAGTACAAAGGTATATACAAAGGTATATACATCCCATATATACCGCAGGCATAAAAGGCCCATACTTAGTGTTCCAACATTTCCGAAGCGCATTTAGCTCGGCTGACTGGTTTGTTCTTGATACGTTTTCCACCAAGGAATGCCCGGGAAGTCCGTGAGCATAATAAGCTCTTTGTATTCTCAAACCTCCGGACGTGCGAGTACACAGAGCTCTCCAAAAGCTTCCGTACACAAAGCAAAGAGCAATGTGCACTCTTTCTAGTCCCCTTTAATTTCGTGCTAGATAGGACAATGAGATGAACGCTGGAAGGTCTTCAAAACCCCGGTGTTCAAATAGCCTCTGACGAAAACCTTTCCGATCTGGGATATGCAGACTACATCGTTCTCATCTTCGAAGAGGAGGAAAAGGCGCAAGTATTCTTGGATGAACTGACCAAAGTCATCCCGTCCTTTGGTATGCACTTTGCACCCACAAAGTGTAAGGTCATGCTTGTGGACGTGCAGTCACTGAACACGCCACTTAC